AAAAAAAAAAAAAAACAGCAAAATAAGTCATCTCTATTCATGGCAAACAGGTTTCAATATATATATTCTTTTAAATGTATTCAGTCCATTTACAATTCACTATAAAAACTGTATATATTTTTTCCCTGTCAATACCTTCATTTTAACTTTTTGTGCCAGTACTGGGACTTGAACTCAGGGCCTCATGTTCTTGCTTAGATTTTTCACCCAAAGATGGTGCACTACCACTTGAGCCACACCTCTATTTTTATCTTTTTGCTGGTTAATTGGAGATAAAACTTTGACCACACTCGTTACCTTTTCTAAGAGCTTCTCTGCTTGGGCTGGCTTCAGACCAGGATCCTCAGATCTCAGAGTCCTGAGTAACTAGGATTATAGGCATGAACCATCAGCACCAGGGCTCTTTGTTGTTGTTGTTGTTGGTCATGGGGCCTGAACTCTGGGCCTGGTGCTGTCCCTTCGCTCTTCAGCTCAAGACTAGCACTCTACCACTTGAGCCACAGTGTCACTTCTGGCTTTTCCTGCTTATGTGGTACTGAGGAATCGAACCAAGGGCCTCATGCATACAAGGCAAGCAGTCTACCACTGAGCCACCTTCCCAGCCCCTCTTTTTTTTTGTTGTTGGTTGTGGGGATTGAACTCTGGGCCTGGGTGCTGTCCCTCAGCTTTTTAGCTCAAGGTTAGTGCTCTACCACTTGAGCCACAGCGCCACTGCTAGTTTTTTGGTGGTTAGTTGGAGATTAGAATCTCACAGACTTTCCTGCCTGGGCTGGCTTTGAACTTCAATCCTCAGATCTCAGCTTCCTGAGTAGCTAGGATTACAGGCTACTGGCATCCAGTTCATGGTTTTTCCTGTTAACAGTACAAAATTTACATAGCACCCCATACAAAAAAAAATCCTTGCAAATAACTTTGTATATTTTATACCTGTAAAACTTTACAAGGAATGCTTTGTTATGAGTAGACCTTACTTAATTTTAAGGCCCAATGGCTTTTGCTTTTTCATGCTGCTCTCAATTATGCTTTCAATTTTTTCTGATTATGGCTTTAGATTTTTTTCATGCTGCTCTGAATTATATATTAATGTAAGAAGCACTTCTCGACTTTTTTTTTTTGGTGCCAGTACTGGGGCTTGAACTCTGGGTTTTGAGCTATCTCTTGGCTTTTTCTACTTGTTTTTTCTCAAACAAGGCTGGCACTCTACTACTTGAGCCACAGGCCCACTAGTGGCTTTTTGGTGGTTAATTGGCAATAAGAGATTCTGCCATTTATCAGCCTAGGCAGCCTTTGAACTGGATTCTTAGATCTCAGTCTTTCTGAGGAGCTAGGATTACAGATATGACCCACCAGTGCCTTGCTCACTCCTAGACTTTTAGTGTTGGCATTTTAGCCCCTGTTGATTTTTTTAAAACTTACGCCTGAACAAATGAATTAAACGTTTTAAGTACCTTTTCTTTTTATGTATCAGTCCTGGGGGTTGAGCTCTGGGCCTGTGCACTATGCTTGAGCTTGTGCTCAAGGCAAGCACTCTACTACTTAAGCCACAGCTCTACTTCCAGGTTTTTTTGTACTTAATTGGAGATAAGAGTCCCCTGGACTTTCTAACCCAGGCTAGCTTCAAACTGTGATCCTCAGTTCTCAACCTCATGAATATGTAGGATTATAGGCATGAGCCATCAGCACCTGGCACACACATCTTAATCATTTTTAAGCATATAGTTTTTATTACATTACATCCAAGTTGTTGTTAGCTATTACCACCATCTATCTCTGGAACCTTTTGTCCTTCTCAGCTGAAACTCAGCCTCCATTTAACACTGACCCCCTTCTCCTCTTGTTCTAGCCCCTAACATTCACTGTTCTACTTTATCACTCTGATTACCCTAGATACCTCTTCTAAGTGGCATCATAGAATATTTGTCTTTTTGGAATTGACTGATTTCACTTAGCAGAATGCCCTCAAAATTCAGACATGTTGTTGTGTATGCCAAAATTTCCTTCCTTTGTAAGGCTGAATAACATTCCATTTCATAAACACATACACACACACACACACATGTATGGTGATTCTCTTTTTTAAGAGAGAAGAGAATATTTTAAAGGTTTTGATATTGACTTTTAAGCATAAAAGACTATTGGTCCTTTATTACCAGTTAACTCTTGGATTCTATAAAACTTTTTCTTAAGCTTCAACTTACCATCCTGATGGAACTATTCAAGTAAGCAATGGGAGCCTTACCTTTTACCCAGCTCAGACAAATGTATTCCCTAGACCTACTCAGCCATTCATCAGCAGTCGGGGAACTGTGAGAGGATGTCCTCGTGGTGGGAGACTGCTCACTAATTCCTACCGGTCTCCTGGTGGTTATAAAGGTATGTTCTGAATCTGCTGGGTATCCTGAATTTGTTTTTTTTTTTCTATATTTACTTGATCCAAATTAGTTTTACATTATTTCCTTTCAGCATTGCTATTTATAATGTTAAGAAAGACTTACCTATTAATGGCTAAACAGTATTTTTAATATGCCTATTCTTTACAACATAACTAACTTCTGTATGAAAAGCAGATTAATTCTGGAACTGAAGTAGAAAAGTTGATTATCTTGTTTTTTAAGGAATGAATTTGTTTTTTTATATTTGAATGATTTCTTTTTGTGTTTTGTCAATTGATATGCCTCTGATAAAAATATGTCATAATTAAAGATGGATGCTGATAGCTCAGGCCTATAATCCTAGATACTCAGGAAGCTGTGATCTGAGGACTGTGATTCAAAGCCAGCCTGGGCAGGAAAGTCCATGAGACTCTTACCTCTAATTAGCCACCAAAAAATCCACTTGCTCAAGTGGTATAGAGTGATAGTCTTAAGCAAAAAAGCTCAAAGACCTGAGTTCAAGCTCTAGGACTGGCATCAAAAATAAAATATTTAAGCCATGCACTGGTGGCTCACACCTGTAATCCTAGCTACTCAGGAGGCTGAGATCTGAGGATCACAGTTCAAAGCCAGCCTGGGCAAGAAAGTCCATGAGACTCTTATCTCCAATTAACCACCACAAAACTGGAAGTGGCGCTGTGGCTCAAGTGGTAGAGCGTTAGCCTAGAGATGAAGAGCTTAGGGACAGTGTCCAGGCCTAGAGATGAAGAGCTTAGGGACAGTGTCCAGGCCCGGAGTTCAAGCCCCATGGCCGACAAAAAACAACAACAACAACACCCCCCCCCAAAAAATTTAGACAATGCTTATTTTCTAGTTATTGTCTATTAGACTATACCACAGATAAGAACATAGAATTTGAGACTATCAGAGTGATTAATAGTGATATTCTTTAAGTTTCTTTTCTTTTCTTTTTTTTGGTTGATCATGGGGCCTGAACCCTTGCCCTGGGCTCTGTTCCTCAGCTCTTCAGGTCAAGGGTAATACTCTACCATTTGAGCCACAGCATCCTTTCCAGCTTTGTCTGCTTATGTAGTGCTGAGGAATCGAACCCAGGGTCTCATGCATGCAAGGCAAGCACTCTGCCACTTACATTCTCAGCCCTCGTTTAAGTTTTAATTAGGATTCCAAGTATTGTGATTTCTGCTTGTTTATTAGCAAAAGTCCTTGAGACAGCATACGAAATACCATTGGACGCTGGTGGCTCCTACCTGTAATCCTAGCTATTCAGCAAGCTGAGATCTGAGGATCGAAGTTCAACACCAGCCTGGGCAGGAAAGTCTGTGAGATGCTTATCTCCAGTTAACCACCAGAAATTTATATGTGAGCTGTGGCTCAAAGTGGTAGAGTGCTAGCTGTGAGCACAAAAGAACTCAGGGACAGCTCCCAGGTCCTGAGTTCAAGCTCCATGACTGACCAAAAAAAAAAAGAAGAAGAAGAAGAAGCCCGAATACTTGCTACCAAATTGCCTTCATTACAGAATACTTAATACCTATCTCTACCATTTACCACCACCCCCATCTATATTCAGCAGCAATAAATTTCTGAACCTGGCTTGTTACCAATCATTAGCAATAGTTTTTAAATATAGATTTTAAATGTGGCAGCAATTTTGATTGCCTTTACTTAAGGCATAAATCCACTAATAGCATTAAGAGCTCATTTTAGCTTTAAAGCTGAACAATTCAGTATGCTCTTGTTCATCATTTTTTTGGTAAGTTGTTGTTTATTTATTAGGTTTTGATAGTTATAGAGGACCTTCAATTTCCAATGGAAATTATAACCCACTGCAGTTGCAAGCTAGAGAATATCCTGGAGCAGCTTATTCCCAAATGGTAAGAATATCTATGTCTATTCAATAGAGTATAACTGTTGATAAAACATTTCAGAGTCCTCATTTGTTTTATAGCAGTGCAATCTTCATTTTAGAACTTCATGTCAGTCCTAGGGAAGTTTGGGTTGGATAGCTTTTCTAATTGCCCAAAAATGATAAAATCAACTGCTAGCTACATGGGATTTGACAGGCATCAAAGACATTATTAATCATGTTGCTGCTGGGTGCCAGTGGCTCATGTTTGTAATCCTAACTACTTGGAAGCTGAGATTTGAGGATTACAGTTCAAAGTCAGCCTGGAAAGTCCCTGAGACTTATCTCTAGTTAACTAGCAAAGAACAGGAAGTAGAACTATAGCTCAAGTGGTAGAGCACCAGCCTTGAACAACAAGGATAAGCTACAGTGAGAGGCCCTGAGTTTGAGCTGCTCTCTCTTTCTCTCTCTCTTTCTCTTTCTCTCCCTCCCTCCTTTTCCCCCTCCCCACTCTCTCCCCATCCTTCCCTCTGTCGCCCTCTCCTCTCCCTCTCTCCCCCTCTCCCTCTCTTCCTCTGCCCCTGGGCTCTGTCCTTGAGCCTCTTCGTGCTTCAGGCTAGCACTATACCATTTGAGCCACAGTGCCACCTCTGGCCTTTTCTGAGTAGTTTATTGGAGATAAGAATCTCATGGACTTTCCTGCCCAGGCTGGCTTTGAACCACAATCCTCAGATCTCAGCCTCCTGAGTAGCTAGGATTGCAGGCATAAGCCACTGATGCCTGGCTTTTTCTTTCTTTCTTTCTTTTTTCTTTTTTGTGTTTGAAATAGGGCTTGGGTTGTTGTTCCTTAGCAGCTTTTTAGCTTAAGGCTAGTGCTTTACCATTTGATCCACACCTTCACTTTCAGTCTCATGGACCAGGCTCACCTTGAACCATGATCCTCATATCTCAGGCTTTTGAGTAGCTAGGATTATAGGCATAAGCCTCTGATGACTCACTCACAATATAATTCTCTTCCATTCTTATGTGGAAAAATAAAGAATTCACTCTAACAGGGGGGCAGGGGGAGGCTTGGAAGGGATGTAAAGGGTAAACAAAGGAGGAGGCTACAATGCTTGATAAGAAATGTACTCATTATCTTGCCCATGTAATTGTAACCCCTCTGTACAGTATGTTCATAAAAAATAAAAATTAGGGGCTGGGAAGGTAGCTCAGCGGTAGAGTGCATGCCTTGCAAACATGAGGCCCTGGGTTCGATTCCTCAGCACCACATAAACAGAAAAAGCCGGAAGTGGCACTGTGGCTCCAGTGGTAGAGCACTAGCCTTGAGCTGAAGAGCTGAGGGACAGCACCCAGACCCAGAGTTCAGGCCCCATGACCGGCAAAACAAAATAAAATAAAATAAATAAAAAATAAAAATTAAAAAAAAGAATTCACTCTAACATAGTTTGTATTAGTCTTTGAAGTTTGAGAAGATGGTTTGAAGAAGTCTGTTCTTGTTCTGGCTTTCCCATGTTCTTTTATATTGAGGTATTTATGTTTATATATTTATATTTATATATATTTATATTGAGACCCAGGATCAGGTTGCACTTCTGGATTTCTATCACCTACCACTGTGCTTTTTTGTATGGTATTCTGTAAATGCTTTATTGTTTTGGTAATAGCATCTAATTGGTCAGGTTAATTAACAGTAGAGCAAAATCACCACTGTCATCCTTCATTTTTTTCCTGATGCTTGGCAACATCTCTTCTTTGGTTGCTGGAGAAGGCTAAATGAAAAATTAAGAGGATTTAGCAGCCACTGCTCAGGTAGCTCAGGCCTGTATGCCTATTCAGGAGGCTGAGATCTGAGGATTGTTTGAAGCCAGCCAAGGCAAGAAAGTCGGCAAGAAAGTCCGTGAGACTCTTATCTCCAATCAGAAAAAGCTGGAAGTGGCCCTTTGGCTCAAGTGGTAGAGCAATAGGACTGGCCAAAAAAAAAAAGGCTTTAGCTGAGCACAGTAATATATGTCTATAATCCTAGTACCAGGGAGGATGAGATGAGAGGATAATGATTTCTATGCTAACCTGAGCTACATAATGAGACCATGTCTCAAAATAGACATCAGTCAATATTTGGTGTAATGACAAATTATTATCTGGTGGTTTTGGTGCTATGGTAAATATTCATGTGTTCATTTTAGGATAACTTCCAGCAGTGTTATAAACAAGGAGGGACATCTGGTGGCCCTCGGGCAGATTCCAGAGGTAAGGAAACTGAGTTAATAAGTTTTTGTCCCCAGACTTATTTCTAGTTTATTCTGGAGTCTGCTATCTAATCTGCTCCCAAAACACATTGCATTCAGCACTTGTTGAAGTTTTCAGTTTGCTTAAATACAGTACTAAAGTATTAAAGGAGATAAAAGATTACTAGAAAGGACATAGAAACCAGAAATGTAAATATAGTTAAAAGTATATGTTTAAAAAACTTTTTTTCTTAGCTAGGCACTAATGGCTCATGCCTATAATCCTACTGCACAGGAGGCTGGGATCTGAGGATTGCAGTTTGAAGCTAGCCTGGGCAGGAAAGTCTGTAAGACTCTTTTCTCCAATTAACCAGTGAAAAGTTGGAAGTAGGTGTGGCTCCAGTGGCAGAGCACTAGCCTTGAGTGAAAAAGCTCAAGTACAGTGTCCAGGCATTGAGTTTAAGTCACAGGATTGGGTGCATACATACATATACACACACACACAGAGAAGGTAACCACAGAGAGAGAAGATAATTAACGTGTGTGTGTGTGTGTGTGTGTGTGTGTGTGTGTTCCCTGTACTACTTGAAATACATTCATGTAGCGTTTCAGAATGATATTATAAATAGTATAAAGGGTTCCTGCTTGACTTGAAAAAAAATAGTATAAAGGGATACTATTAGTTCTCTACTGTCCTTACATTGATTTAAACACATAGATTTGAATAAGCAACAGTTTAGACACAAATGACTAGAAACACATTTTATTGTTGTTTTGCCGGTCCTGGGGCTTGCATTTTGGGCTTGGGCACTATTCCTGAGATTCTTTTACTCAGGCTCCACTCTTCCACTTGAGCCACAGTGCCACTTCTGGCTTTTTCTGAGTAGTTTATTAGAAGTAAGAGTCATGGACTTTCCTGATCGTGCTGGCTTTAAACTGTAATCCTCAGATCTCAGGTTCCTGAGTAGCTAGGATTACAGGCATGAGCTACCAGTTTCTAGCCAGGCTAGAAACATTTTTTTTTTAATGCAAGGGACTATGAAAAGACTCAGTAAAACTGAGAAAATTATTACCAAATCTGGGTATGTTGGTTTAGTCCTTAACCCTAGTTGTTTGGGAGGCACAGATTAGGAGAGTCATGGTTTAAGCTCAGCCCAGGCCAAAAAATTCTTTGAGAATCCCATCTCAACCAATAAAAAGCTGAGCATGGGGGCTGGGAAGGTGGCTCAGTGGTAGAGTGCTTGTCTTGCATGTATGAGGCCCTGGATTCCATTCCTCAGCACCACATAAGCAGAAAAAGCCACTGTGGCTCAAGTGGTAGAGTGCTAGCCTTGAACTGAAGAACTGAGGGACAGTGCCCAGGCCCAGGGTTCAGGCCCCATGACCAACAACACAAAAACAAAAGCTGAGCATGTGGCTCATCTTCATCTCAATTATATAGGAGACATAAATGGGATTGTGGACCTAAACTCCAGACTGTATATTGAAAAATAGAGACAAAAATGGTTAATGACATGGTTCAAGTATTAGAATACCTGCCTAGCAAGTGCAAGACCCAAGTCAAGCCCTAGTACCACCCTCCCAAAAAAATAGCACTTGTTTTTTGTTTTTTTTTTTTAATTCAATGTTGGTTAATCTTAGCTACATTTGGGAAGTTTAACCTTTTGGGACCCCAAAGAGGCAATCAGATAAGATTATGTAGGTCCCTTGTGGCTTTAGAATAGCATCATAAAAGCCTATTGGACAAAAAAAAGTTTTTTAAGAAAGTTTATAGTCACATTTTATTGCTTTGGAATTTACTATTAAATGTATTTTTATCTGTGTTTCAGTAGCCAACTAATGTTAAATGTTGTGTTCAAAGCTAACTGCTTCATTATGAGAAACTCACTGTTGCTAATAAAACAGCAGGGTGGAGTGACTCCTCGCAGGTGAGCAGCCCAGAGCGCGATGACACCTTTCACAGTGCTGACTCTGGACAAGGAGACTCTCGTAGCATGACTCCTGTGGATGTGCCAGTGACAAACCCAGCTGCCACCGTTATGCCAGTGCATGTCTATCCCCTGCCTCAGCAGATGCGAGTTGCCTTCTCAGCAGCCAGAACCTCCAACCTGGCCCCTGGGTCTTTGGACCAACCGATTGTGTTTGATCTTCTGCTAAACAACTTGGGAGAGACCTTTGATCTTCAGCTGGGTAGATTCAGTTGTCCTGTGAATGGCACTTACGTCTTCATTTTCCACATGCTGAAGCTGGCAGTGAATGTGCCCCTGTATGTCAACCTCATGAAGAACGAGGAGGTCTTGGTGTCTGCCTATGCCAATGATGGTGCTCCTGATCATGAGACAGCTAGCAACCATGCAATTCTTCAACTCTTGCAGGGAGACCAAATATGGCTACGCTTGCACAGGGGAGCCATTTATGGAAGTAGCTGGAAATACTCTACATTTTCAGGCTATCTTCTTTATCAAGATTGAGCTGGTATTGAATTGACCATGAAAGAATGGATGGTGTTCAAATGCGTGAGAGGGAAGGAAGGAAAACAATCCTTGCCCTGGTGACTGGTTTAGGAAAATGGTTTCATTCCTAGAGAAAGGAGGAGGTCCTTACTTTTTTCTGTTTTCCTCCCTAGGTGGGAAATTTCACCCGAATGACAGCACTAACCTGGCACTTTATAAATTGTGCTGTAGCCTCATAGTCAGGCTGTGAATGTATATCGTTTGCACTTAATCCTTTAACTGTATTAAAGTTCAGCTTACTAAACTGACTGCCTCAAGTTCGGGCAAGTTACAATGCCTTGTTGTGCCTCAATAAAAAAAAACAAAACACAAAACTTACCTGCACTGTTGGTTGTTCTTATCTCATTAAACATTTGGTTGATAAGCTCATTTTTTAAAAGTAATCACTAATAACCCTTGGTTATTTATGCATTTATGCCATTACTTTAAAATATGAGGACCTTGTAATGTCACTTTCTCCAATAATGCATTTAATTCATTAAGTGATCTGATCTGTCTTCCATGGGCAGAATCCTTGAATTTTCTTTTTGTTTTCTTTCTTTTTTTAAAGGAACAGATTCTTGGGGTTGGAGGCATGGCTCAGTTGGTAGAGTGCTAGCCAATGAACAAAAGCATCAGGTACTGAGTTTAAGTCCCTGTCTCAGACCTAAAAAGAAACCAAAGAGCATATTCTTTCTTTAGCAGTTGCCTTTAGCACCTACTGTGTGTGTAATAGACAAGATGCCATAGGAAATACACAGGTGACGCTCTGCTCTACACCAGCAGGGCTTATCCTCCCTGGTGGAAGGCCCTCACTGTGTAGCCCAGACTGACAGCATTTCTGGCCTTCAGTGATCCTCCCTGCTTCAACTTCCCTAGTTCTGGGATTACAAGTGTACACTGCCACTCCAGCTTCCCAATTCAGATTTAGTTTGAATAGACAAAGTGCTTAGTCATGAAAAAGTGTGGACTTTGTGGTCAGGCAATGCTGTGACTGACTCTTGATTCTGTCACTTGGTAACTGATCTTGGATAAGTTTGCTTATGCCTAAAATCTCTTTATTTTTGTGCCAGTACTTGAGCTTGAACTTGAGGCCTTGGTGCTCTCTAATAGTTTTATCACTCAAGGGTGGTGTACTACCACTTGAGCCACAGCTTTGCTTCTGCCTTTTGGTGGTTAATTGGATATAGGAGTTGCAAGGACCTTCCTACATGGGCTGGCTTCAAACCACAGTCCTCAGATGTTAGTCACCTGAGTACCTAGGATTACAAGAGTGAGCCACCAGAGGACCCCAGTCTTATGTATGTATGCATGTATACATGTATTTGTGCTGGTCCTGGGGCTTGAACTTGGGATCTGGACACTTTTTTGCAGACTCTGTTACTTGAGTTGCAGCTCTACATTTATCTTTTTGGTGGTCAATTGGAGATGAGAGTCTCATGGTCTTTCTTGCCAGAATGGCTTGGAACTGCCGTCCTCAGGTCTCAGCCTCTTGAGTAGCTAGGAGAACAGGTGTGAGCCACCAATGCCCATCTTGTTCTGGTTTTAAAGACTCTTGTAGCTGGCACTGGTGGCTCATACCTGTAATCCTAGGTACTCAGGAGGTTGAGATCTAAGGATTGCTGTTTGAGGCTAGCTCAGGCAGAAAAATCTGTGAGATTCTTATTTTCAATAAACTACTCAGAAAATAGCTGTATCATTGTGGCTGCAGTAGTAGAGCACTAGCCTTGAGCAAAAAGCAGCTCAAGGACATGCCCTGGTCCTGAGTTCAAGTCCCAGGACTGGCAAAAAAAAAGTGTAAAATTAGGGTGATAAGGGGCCAGTCGCAGGGACCAGTTGTGAAATTCAAGTAGGGAGGAGTTTAACATAATGTCATCAAAAAACATTTCATAAATATTAGGTGCTGTAATTGTTTTTCTCATTCTGCAAATTAGTTCTCTGTGAAAGTGTCTATACTATCTTTAATGTAGCATGGCAGGCACTGCTAGAATTTGGCATTCTCTGGTGATGTGATGTTTTCTCATATTTCCTTGTTTAAGTTTAAATATCTTAAGAATAGCTTACATAATTTTTTTGGGGGGGGGGTCCGGTCTCCTTGTTTAAGTTTAAATATCTTTCTTAAGAATAGCTTACATAATTTTTTTTTGGGGGGGTTCGGTCGTGGGCCTGAATTCTGGGCCTGGGTGCTGTCCCTCAGCTCTTCAGCTAAAGGCTAGCGCTCTACCACTTGAGCCACAGCGCCACTTCTGGCTTTTTTTCTTTTTGCTTATGTGGTGCTAAGGAATCGAACCCAGGGCCTTATGCATACAAGGCAAGCACTCTACCACTGAGCCACCTTCCCATTTTTATTTTTTTTGTTAGTCATGGGGCTTGACCTCAGAGTCTGGCTCTGTCCTGGAATATTTTTGCCCAAGGTTAGCACTCTAACACTTTGAGCCACAGCTCCACTTCTGGTTTTTGGGGAGTAAAGAATAGAGTCTCACAGAAAGTCTGTGCTGGTGCTGGCTTCAAACTATGATCCTCAGATCTCAGCCTCCTGAGTAGCTAGAATTACAGGCCTGACAGGCCTAAGCCACCAGCACCTGGCCTTATATTTTACTTACGTGAGTGTGTGTAGTCAATCTTGGGGATTGAAGCTCAGGGCCTGTCCCTGAGCTTTTGCTCAAGGCTAGCACTCCGTTACATAGGGCACAGGGCCACTTCCGGCTTTTTCAGTTTATTTGGTACTGAGGAATCAAACCCAGGGCTTCATGCATGCTAGGCAAGCACTCTACCACTAAGCCATATTTCCAGCCTCTGTATTTTATATTTAATTCCTTTAAAGAATCATGTTGCAGTATTTAGGAAAATAGTAAAGATTGGGTGATTTTTACCATTAATATGTAAATCATCTGCTAACGGAGAAACTTGGGTGATTTTTTTGTTTCCATTTTTGTGGACTGGAGTTTTATTTTTTCAATTTAAATTTTGTTGTAAAGGTGATATACAGAGGGGTTACAGTTACATAAGTAAGGTAATGAGTACATTTCTTTTTGAACAGTGTTATCCCTCATTTTCTCCCATCCCCCCCCCCATATTGTAGTTTTAATTCGGGAATTTATTCTTGCTAGGCAGACACTCTACTGCTGGTTATTATTGAAATATTATTGAGATAGAGTCTTGTTTCCAGTCTAGATGTGTACCTGGACCATGATGTGCCTATTTTAAGCTCTCCAACATAGCTGGGAAAACAGGCACATGCCATTGTGTTCTACTCTTGGGTGAGAAAGAGTCTTGTAGACTTTTCTTCCTAGGCTGGCCTTGAACTACAATCCTCTCAATAGCCTTCTATCTAGCTAAGATTACAAGCATAAGTTACCAGTGCCTGGCTAAAAGATATTTTGATTCTCTTCTCACTCTAAGGTGTTAAGTAATGTAAGGAAGATAGTATAAAAGTTTTATATTTATGACAGGTTTGTGTGTATGTGTGCATGTGCACCAGTCCTGGGCATAAACTCAGGGCCTGGGTGCTGTCCTGAAGCTTTTCTGCTTGTCTATCACTCTAACACTTGAATGATAGCTTCACTTCCAGCTTTTTTTTTTGTCGGTCGTGGGGCTTGAACTCTGGGCCTGGGCGCTGTCCCTCAGCTTTTCAGCTCAAGGCGAGCGCTCTACCGCTTGAGCTACAGCACCACTTCTGGTTTTCTGGTGGTTTATTGGAGATAGGAGTCTCACGGTCTCTCCTGCCCGGGGTGGCTTTGAACCTTGATCCTCAGATCTCAGCCTCCTGAGTAGCTAGGATTACAGGCGTGAGCCACCAGCGCCCGGCTCCAGCTTTTTTTGTGGTTAACTGGAGAATAGAGTCTCATGGACTTTCCTGCCTGGGTTGGCTTTGAACTGCATTCCTCTTATCTCAACCTCCTGAGTAGCTAGGATTATAGATAGTGCCTGGTAACAGTATTTTTGATCTGGGTATGGGTAATTTGTAATTAAACCCTGAAGTTTAATTCTCTATGTTTAACTAACTTCTCAATGTTAGGATCTTTTCAGTGGCAGTATAGAGTTCTCAAGATAGAAGGTCTGAGCCAAGCACTGATGTTGCATGCTTATAATTGTAGTTTCTCAGGAGGCTGAGATTTGAGGATCGAGGTTTAAAGCCAGCTCAGGCAGGTAAGTCCAGGAGACCCTTATATCCATTTAACCAGGAAAAAGTTGGAAATGGAACTGTGGCTCAAGTTGTAGAGTGCCATCCTTGAGTGAAAGAGCTAAGGGACAACACCCAGGCCCTGAGTTCAAGTCCCAGTACCAGCACCAAGAAATAAAAAGAGTAGACATGCTTGGCCTTGTTTCCTGATTATATGTTGTCATCATGCAAGGACAAAGTTGTTTTCCAAGTTGGCTTCACTTTGAAATCTTCCTTACACATTTTCTGTTCTACCCCCTTTTCTGTATCATTATATTTATCAGAATCTTTTGATTGTTGGCTAACTGTTCATATTAAAGAATAGAAGTGCCACAAAGGTATTAGGAGCTGTGAATGCAGAGGTGGGACTTGCTGCATTTGGGCTTAGTGGTAGCAGGAGTTTTTCAGGGACAAGGAAGAAACACTGGTGTGGGGGATTTAGAGCAGCTTTCCTGGTGGGACACAAACCCCAGATGCAACAGAGGACGAATCCGTTGGACAAACAGAATTTATTCCCCCAAATGTATGTGTAGGAAAATAGCAAAAGACTATTTGCAGTGGGTGGAAAATTAAAGAGGAAGGAGTATGATGAGCAGTTCTTACAGACAGAATGATTGTAAATATATGGAAAGATTTTGTTTTTTTTTTGGTGCTCATCCTGGGGCCCGAACTTTTTCACTCAAGGATGGCACTGTACCACTCGAACCACAGCTTCTACTTTTGGCTTTTCGCTGGTTAATTGGAGATAAGAATCTCTTGGATTTGTCTTCCTTAGCTGGCTCTGAACTGGGATTAACAGATCTTGGTCTCCCTAGTAGTTAGGATTATAGTGGTTAGTCTCAGACCCTAGTTGCATTTTTTGTATGTGGTGGATTTGTGTGTGTGTGTGCGTGCGTGCGCGCGTGCACACACACACATGCATATGCCATTACTTTTTTATTTTTTGCCAGTCCTGGGGTTGCCTGAGCACTGTCCCTGAGCTTCTTTTGCTCAAGGATAGCACTCTACCACTTGAGCCATAGCACCACTTCTGGCTGGGTTTTTTTGTGTGTGTGTGTTTGTATGTGGTACTAAGGAATGGAACTCAGGGCTTTGTGCATGCTAGGCAAGCACACTACTACTGAGCCACATCTTCAGTCCCATATGCCATTACTG